ACCTAGTCAGAGCGGTTTTAAAGAAACTGCGAGTCGCCCACCTATATGCCAAACTCTTGAAATGCGAATTCCACCAGGAAAAGATAGACTACCTAGGTTATCGCATATCTCCACAGAGCATTGAAATGGACCCAGAGAAGTCAGAGCAATATTAGAATGCATCCCGCACAAGAAAACAACTGCAAAGTTTCCTGGGCTTCGCAAACTTTTACCGCCAATTCATCCCCTCATTTGCCCAGATAGCCCTGCCCCTCACGAACTTACTAAAAATGAAGGGAGCATCCTCAATAAAACCTAGCCAGCCACTAACATGGACAATGGAGTGCCAAGCAGCATTTGAGAGATTAAAGAGACTTTTCTCTGCCAAACCAGTATTGAGGCACCCAGATATGGATAAGCCCTTCGTAATACAGGTGGATGCAAGTGATGTGGTAGTGGGGGCTATACTATTACAAGAAAATGATGAAGGGGTGTTGCAACCCTGTGCATATACATCCAAGAAACTAATGGAAACGGAACAGCGCTGGCCTGTATGGGAGAAAGAGGCATATGGGATATGTTGGTCATTATTCACGTGGTGCCAGTTCCTTGAAGGCAACAAAATCCCCTTCCAGGTGTGTACTGACCACAAAAATTTGGAAGCCCTGAAAACACCCAGGAAGCTCAACCCCAAGCAAGCCCACTGGTCCCAACATTTTCACCAGTTCCAATTTACGCTCAAGCATTTGCCGGGGGGAAAGAACTTCCTCGCATGCCCCAATATAACAGCACGCGAACCACCAACTCTAAACCGATGATGGTAGAATCACAACTGGCACTGCCAGTAACCACCAGAGCCCAAGCTAAATTAAAATTACAACTGGGCAGCCAAACCGGAATTGAATTCTGGAAAATTTTGGAAACAGATGAATGGTTCCAGAAAAACAAAAATGTGTGCACAATGAGAGACGGGCTGCCTTGGGTGGGGGAAAAGTTATATATACCAACAATCCAAAGAGTCACATTCATGCAGCTTTGCCACGACACAAAATCAGCAGGGCATTTTGGATTTTTAAAAACATTGCACTTAATTAAACGGCAATTTGGGTGGCCATCCATAAAAAGGACATAGAAAGTTATGTGGCCAGCTGCCCAAAGTCTGCAACTGCAAAGAGGTTGCAAGGGAAATCGCCCAGAGTGTTACAAACAGTGGCAAATCCCTCAGCCCCCTGGAGGGAAATAGTAGGATTTTGTAGTGGAATTACCAGAAAGCAATGGGAATACTGTTGTCTGGATGGTCACGGACTTGTTTTCCAAACAGGTGCACTTCATCCCTTGCCAAAAGCTTCCCACCGCAAAAGCCTTAGTGAAACTTTTCGTCCAGTACATTTACAGATTGCATGGGGCACCCCAACGCATCATCTCTGATTGGGGAGTGCAATTTACATCTGCATTTTGGAAGGAATTTTTATCCCTCTTAGAGACCACTCAGGGACTGACATCTAACCATCATCCACAAGGGGATGGACAGACAGAACGGTGTCACTCAGTACTTGAGCAATATTTAAGATGTTTTCTTAGTTTCCAGCAGTCTGATTGGGCGGACTTACTCCCTTTCGCAGAAGTTGCCTACAATAATGCAGTCCACTCCAGCACAGGTTACACTCCTTTACAAATAGCCACCAGTTAAAGTTTCAACCCCATGCCAGAATTAACCCCAAAGGAACCGACGATCCCATCACTGAAAGAATAGATGAAAGAATTACAAAACACCTGCCCAATAGTTAGAAAAGCACTAGATGAAGCTAGGCAGGCATACAAAGCACAAGCTGATAAAAAAGGGTTGAGCCTACACCATTCATTATAGGAGAAATGGTGTACTTATCTTCAAAATACCTAAAGTCCCTACAACCCTATAAAAAAACTTGGACCAAAATATATAGGGCCTTTTCCAATTAAAAGAATCATAAACCCAGTAACAGTAGAATTAGAATTACCCAAAACTCTCAGGCAAATACACCCAATTTTTCATTGCAGCTTGCTGAAAAGAGAGCATCAGTTATCGTTAACAGCCAAAAATTCCCCCCACCTCCAATCATGGTGGAGGGCGAACAATACTTTGAAATAAAGGAAATCCTAGACTCTAGGAGATATCATGGAGCGATTCAGTACCTAGTTGCATGGAAACGCCTGCCTCACAAAACGAGTGGGTCCATAAATGTCATGTCAGAGCCCCGAAGCTATTAAAGAAGTTTCACACAGAGTATCCTAACAAGCCTGACTAACTTTTATACATGTTTTGTTTTCTTTCAGGTGGATCTATCTTATTTTTAAGGGGTAGGATGTCAGAATCCAATTATATTTCATCTCTAGTTATCGACTATGGAAAATCCCATTTCTGCCCTCTCTGGATTCTGTCATACAATGAAGGGGAAGGGGGGTGAACAAAGGGGTTTTATGGCCCTCACTTCCTTCGGTACAACTTCAAAGGAATTGAATGTGGATACCACCAAAATGATTAAAGCATAACAATGGGGCCATCAGCTTTCATCTACTCCTTTCTGAAGTCTCCCTTCCACTGGCAGTGAGGAAAAAGGGGGTGGAAATGTAATGCCTGGAATTGTCGCTGGAAAGATGATGGGGTGGGGTGGGGCTGCTGGGGACCCCTTAAAATCTTGAACTGTAGGGCTTGGCCCCCAAGTCCTGTCTAGAACGCTTGCCATCATTTTCTCTTAATAAAGGATGCCTGTTGGAAGAAATATTCCAAGAGTTCTGTCTTCTTAAGATGCAAAGTGGTGGCATGCGATAGAAGGGATAAGGAGAGGAGTTAAGATAGATAGATTTTATACAACATCTCTTACATACAATTACTTAGATGGGATGGTAAAAATTGGCAGTTAAAATCTTTGGAAGATTTAACACAAGAAAATATTATTTATTCATGGTTTCAGTATAGACAAATAGTGGATAGGTGGAAGATAGATTGTAATGTGGGTTTGATTAGAGAAGATGAAAACTTGTTAAAACAAATAAAAGATCAAAGACGAACTCACATTAAGAGAATTTATGGGGTGTTAGTAGAATTGGATTCAGAAGCAGAATTAGTCAAAGAATGTATGATTCAATGGGCACAAAATTTTGGTGAACCAGTTCTATTAGATACCTGGGAAATTATTTGGGTGAGGAATGTCAAATTTACACAAGCCCAAAACTTAAGGGAGAATTTTTACAAAATGTTTTATAGATGGCAGCTTGATCCACAAAAAATGTCTCGCATGTATCCTGACTTACAGCCTAAATGTTGGAGATGCGGATGTTTGGATGCTACTTACTATCATATCTGGTGGTCGTGTAAAAATATAAAAGCTTTTTGGATTAAGATATGGTGGAATATTCAAAGAATTTTTAGAAGGAGGGTAAAATTTACCCCACAATTGTTTTTGTTAGGTATTGTTACTGATTGTGATACTAAAGAGACTACATTGATGTTAAATTTAATTACAGCCGCAAGGTTGTTAGTAGGGCAATGTTGGAAGAAGGAATCTTTGCCTACTTTGCAAAAATGGTTTTTTAAAGTTTCTTATTTGGCGGAAATGGCAAAGATTTCGGCTTTTTTGAAGGATCAATCGCAAGAGAAGTATTTTGCGGTATGGAAAAAATAGATTTTATGCAACATAAGTTGGATATAAAATATTATTTAGTTTTTTAATAACTTATATGTAATATTTAAAATTTAAAATATTTTATAGACTTTACTTTCTTTTTATTTTTACTTTTTACTTTTATTATACTTTCTTTTATCTTTTTCTTTTTTCTTCTTTTTTCTTCTTTTTCCTCTTAAGTATTTTTCTTTTGGTATTTATGTTTTTCTATATATATATTATTGTTAATTATTTTATAATTTGTTTAATTAATGTATTTAGATTTATTCATGGTTTATATCTTTTTTAAGATTTTTTGAAGAAATTTTAATTAAGCCTATATTCAGCTCTTTGAAGGTCGGGGGAGGGAATGGGAGGTTTGGGGAGGTTTGGGGAAGGGTTGTTTTGTTTTTGTAAAATTTTTAAAAAATTTCAATAAAAATGTATTTATAAAAAAAAGATGCAAAGTGGTGTTTGAAGGAAAGTGGGAATGAACTTATAATATTTAATTGGGGAACAATCTCATTTAGCTTTTTTGGGGGGAAGATAGATTGGTTTTGGAGATTGGTCTTATTGTATTTAATCATTCAGCAACTAATAAGAGATGGGATTAAGAAACAAACATGGACCTTTGATCTGGGACTACTTAGGATAAATTTTTGGGATGATCTTGGATTGAAGCAGTGGTAAATTTTCTACAAGTTGATTACAGTAATAGTTTGCTAACAGAATTTTGGAATTTCAATTTTGTCTTTTATTATTAATAATATTTTACTGCATTTATGCTTTTACATAATATTTCTATTATTTTTCTTGTTAATTATTTGGTTATTAATATAGTATATAGATGACAGGCTAGCAATTTATAAGTAGATTTAGTAGTTTAGTAGTTTAAAACTCTTGACTTGATTTGCAAGGGGTGAGAAATTAATGTTGTATTATATTAATCAGCATTCAACTAGGGAGGATGTTATTTGTATATGTGTTAATCTTTTTCTTTTTCTAAGACACTTTTGTTGTTTTTTCTTTTTCTTTTTTTTAACGTTTTGGTGTTTTGTATTTAACCTTTGAATAAACTAAATATTATGGAGATGGATTTAAAAATATAGCATGAATGAATTAATTTTATTTTTAATTATCATTGCATTTAAATTATACTAGAGGCATAGGTTTTATTTGCTTTTGTTCTTGTTCTGGATCAGCTATCTTTTACTTATACATTAAGTTAATATACTATTAATCATATTTATTAAGTATTATTTCTGTCATATTGTACTTACGACAGTATATTTTCTTAGATGGATATATTTTCTGTCAATGGAAATTACTGGAAATTCAGTTTTCATGAAATAAATTTAATTTCACCTTTGTCAATTTCAGCATCTGAACCCAATCTCAAACTGCGATCTAGATTAAAGCAGAAGGTTGCTGAAAGGCGCAGCAGTCCTTTGTTAAGACGAAAAGATAGTCCTGTAGCTACAGCTCTTAAAAAACGTCCATTAGATGTCACAGGTAAGTTGGAGTGGCACCAATTTTACTACATTTTAATTTCAAAACAATCAGATAGATTGGGAAGATTAAGACAATTGCAATGATCTTAATTTTTCTTAAAAATGTTGACATTCCAGAAATAATAATACAGTAAGGGGTAATAAAAAAGGATAGGGCTGCTACTTGGAGAAGATAATAAAATGATAGCAGGTGATGGGCAGAGGGCAAAGCATTTCAGTTCCCATTTTTTTCAGTTTCATTCCCAAATGGACCTAAACGGAACAATTAACATAGGGAGGGAAAGGCTCAACAAGTTAAGAGAATAGTTAGTTAAGGAGTATCTGCCTTCAAAGAACAAGTTTAAATCTTCAAGATGAGAACAGCTATATCCAGGAAGAAGCTTGCAAAAGTTGTATCAGAACTTATGATCCCTATGATCTTTGAGAAATCACAGATGACTGAAAAAGATCAGATACTCTTTGATCTCTAAAAATATCTTCATTGATTTTTTTAAATATGGTAAGGAATTTTGAAAACCAGATTAAATAATTATCCAATTCAACTTACAGTTAGCAGAGTTATTCTAAGGTAGTTTCTCACATTTCACCCTTTCCCAACCTCAGGTATCTCTGTTGCAGTGGTCCTATTTTTTTCCCCTGTGTTCCAAGGTCATCTAGAAATTCCTTCACAAAAGCATCAGTATAGGGACAATACTGATAAGCATAAGTGTGAAATGAATCTAGGTATTTTGAGAGGAGCCAACAATGTGATAGAGCAGCAAACAAAGCCAATCCAATCTTAGGCTTTATCACATTGGAGTGGAGATAAAGCAGATGGCCCAGAGCACATTCCTCTCCCATTCACACCCCTAAACATCAAAGGGGTGAGGAAACAGTGACGGATCTCCCCCCCTGAATTAATGATGAGAAGATGGTTCTGCCGTAACCTGGTTCTATGTAATGTAGGGCTTTAAAGGTCATAACCAATATCTTGAATTGGACCCAGAAGCAGACCAACATCCAATGGTTTGCGGATACTCAAAATTGGTTCACATGGCCAAATTCTGTATCAGCTGAAGCTGATAGCCTCATGCAATGAAGGTAGTCCTACAATCATTGACTGTTCAAAATTACAGTGGTACTGAAAAAAGGGATTTAGGATTGTTTATTGCACTTATGCCTGTCACAGAATACCTACAATCACATGATCAAAATTTAAGTGCTTGCTAAATGGCATATATTTATGATGGTTGTAAGTCCCAGGGTCATGTGATCATCATTTGCAACCTTCCCAGCTGTTTTTTATAAGCAAAGTCAATAGGGGAAGACGGATTCACTTAACAACCACATGATTCACTTAACAATTATAGCGATTTGCTTAACAGCTGTGATAAAAAAAATCATAAAATCAGGCATCTCACTTAACAACTGCCTTTCTTAGCAGTAAAATCCTGGTCTCAATTGTCGTCGTAAGTCAACAGCTTCCTGTAGTCCAAATGAGAGATGACCAGGACACAAGTAACTAAGAGAAGGGCCTCCCTATCCAGGAAGAAGTGTAACTGTTGCACACAAAATGAAGTTGAACAAAGACTTTTCTAACCATGACTGCCACTGATTCTTTCAGCAGAAGTATAGGATTGAGAATCAGTCTGTTTCAGAAAAGATTATTTATCTATATGAAGTCAGTAGCTACATACAGATCTGGTAGTATATGATCTTGTTTCCATAGACCTCCCAAATATTTAATGTTTGTTAAGGGTATTAATAAACATTTTTAACATATTTTAGAATCTGCATGCAATAGTGCTCCTGGATCTGGCCCTAGTTCTCCAAACAATAGTTCCGGTAATATAAGCACTGAAAATGGAGTTGGATCAGTTATAAATATACAAACAGAGGTAAGATACATTCCTTTGCTTAATTCCAATCAGTTTCTATAGTATACCAGTTTCTATAGTATACCATGTTACATTATTCATTGTGGAAGAAGATACTTCATTGAGGATGTTAATAATTTTTAAGAATGTAAATGGACTTTTTGAAAATGCTTCCTCTTTTTAAATAATAGTAGATCTGTAATATTTGGGCTCTGTACTGTGTGAAAAAACCCTACTTTTTAAAAAGGTTTAGTATGGAAGCGGATAATATTTTACTATTAAAAAGTATTAATACTGCCTTAAAGCAATGGATTTATTTAGTTGCAGGGTTTTTTTTAAATTTCAACTTATGTTCAGGGAAGATAGTATCCATGGATTCTATTCTATAAGTTTAATTCTCCTGTGAGCAGAAGCTTTTTCATTAATATAGCAAAATATTTTATAGTCTCATACATAGAAGAACAAAAAATATGAAAACAAGCTTATGAGAACATCTAGAACAGGGGTGTCAAACTGCCGGCCCACAGGGCGGACACGTCACCAGGAAACCGCGCCCATCCCATTGCCGGCAAGGGGGAAAAAGGTTCAATACGTCACGCGATGTCACATGATGTCGTGAGTTTGACATGTCTGATTTAGAAGATAAAGGAACAAATGAAATTTTTATCAATGACAGAAACTATTAAAGATTAATAATTGAAAAGGTTTTACGTGTGTTGAAAAATGTTAAATTTGGTACCACTAACTTTATATGGAGAAGAACTCTGTAAATGCCAAGTCACTAATTGTGAAGCTTCTCAAGTATTTATTTTCTTCACATCTTGAGGTCTTGCTGTGGTGGTGCACAGCTAGCTTAAAAGCAGTCTTACAGCTATTGTCTTCTCAACTCACGGAGGGCTTTAATAACAAAGCAGGTCATTGATTTAGGAAGTTTTTAACACATCTGATCCAGATTTTTAAAAAATTAAAATTAGGTGTTATGTTATATTATACTACCTCATCCCCTCATTTGTTTCATATTAAAGTTAAAAGAAATGGAAGTCTTATATTAAAAGCCAAAGGCTCTTCCAATCCTTTTTAGAAGTTCCAGGCAGCAGCTATAGCAATACTATACCTTGAATCAGGAGAATCTGTCCAGCACTCAATTGTAACAAAGACTTCTGAAATTTATAGCAGAATGAGATGTGTAAGAATTTATCTGTTTCTTTTCTAGTAACTACTTTTCATCTAAACCACGGGTCGACAACCCGCGGCTCTGGAGCCGCATGTAGCTCTTTCAGCCTTCTTCTGCGGCTCCCAGTCCTCCTCCGTCATTTACAGAGACGGAGAGAGGCGCTTCCCTTCTCTCTCTCTCTCTCTCTCTCTCTCTCTCTCTCTCTCTCTCTCTCTCTCTCTCTCTCTCATCTTCTGCTCACCTGGCCAGCTGGCCTCACGCTGTTTTCCAACAAGCTGACGAGCTTATCGGGCGGGCTCCCTGCCCTTGCTGCATCTCCACAGCAAACAACAGAAAGCAATAGCTCTCTTTCTCTCTTTCTCTTTCTCTCTCTCTCTCTCTCTCTCTCTCTCTCTCTCTCACACACACACACACACACACACACACACACACACACACACACTTTTACTTACTTAGTGGGGGAAGAGGACTGGCAGACCAAGGGCAGGAGAGAGCCAGTCCAATAAGAACGTGTGTCAGCTTGTCAGAGAAGAGCGTGAGGCCACCTGGCCAGGTGAGCAGAAGATCGGAGGGGGGGGGGAGAGAATGTGAATATGAATATATGTTGTCCTTACTGGACTTTTAGTAAAGAACGTTTAATGAAATATTTTGATTTTTTTTTTAATTAAGAGGTGAGGTATGGGGATAATTATGCTGTATTTAAAGATGGTACAGTAGATAAGCTACTAAAATAGTTTTCACCTGTTAGGATGAAGGAGAAAGGTTTTTTTTTCCCTCTTTCTCCGGCATAAAAATTTGTTTTCTTTGTAGCAGTTCATTGATTTCATAAATGCAACACGCTATAGTTTTTTTATACATAGCATAAAGGTAAAAAAGGATATATGCAGTGTTATCTTCATTTTAGATGTCAAAAGGGTTTTGTGGCTCCCAGTGTTTTCTTTTCTGTGAGAAACGGGTCCAAGTGGCTCTTTGACTGTTTAAGGTTGCCTACCCCTGATCTAGACCAATAAAATGATTTTTTGTGCCTAAGTAGCCTAAATTCATAGTGAAGTTAGATCTAAATAAATTGCCTCTATGTAAATAATATTTATATTTTTATGTAAAATATGTCAATGAGTGGAATGGCTTGCCTCCAGAAGTAGAGGATGCTCCATCACTGGAGGTTTTTAAGAAGAGACTGGACAGCCATTTATCTGAAATGGTATAGGGTTTCCTGCTTGAACATGGTGTTGGACCTCCAAGGTCCCTTTCAATTCTGTTATTCTGTATGCGCTTCCCATTCATCTTCTTTCAATCTAGCTTCTTTCCCTTAATATACTATTTCCTTCTTTGCTTTGCTTCTTTGCCAGTCACTATTATCAAGTTCTGTCTACATTATGCCTTCCTGAACTGTGTATAGATTTTGCATGAAGGCAATGACATGTTTTGGAAATAATTTTTCTAAGCTATTCTGGGTTTTATATGATTAGGCACAATTGAAGACATTTTAATATTCAAAAAAACACGTACTGATTTATTTTTGGTATTCTTTGGCTTTCTCAATTAATTACTGTACATCAGCAATGTTTTGTTCCTCAGCTATGTAGGGATTAGATCCCTATATAGACACTTCAATACTTCATCCCAAGAAAGTAGAACTCATGGAAGCGGTTTATTCCAAAAGGAGCTTTTATTAGGAGAAGCTTATAGTAGGCATAATAGACAGGATCTGAGGATTTCCTGCCAGATCAATAGGTAAAAAGTATCCCCAAGCATAGTCCCACCCCATAGTTTATTGTAGCGATAGAGGAAACAAGGCAATAAACTGCAAGCACTTCCCCCCTCCCTTCTAGGAGTATGGCAGAACCCAGGGAGAGAAGAGAATGCAATATGGGTAGAGAGAGAAAAGGAAAAGGCCCTTTAAAATATGGGTTCTGACAGTCAGTTTTAGAAAACTGACTTGAATGTCTATGTAGGGATTTAATCTACAATTGACTAAGCCAGACACATCAAACACAAGGCCTGTGTGTCAAATTTGGCCCGTGAAATGGTTGGATCTCACCCACAGAACTGCCCTGGAAACGACAAGAGTCTAGCCCCCGCCACTTCAGTGCTGGATTAGCCCAGGCCGGTGTTCCCCCTGGGTGTATGCACAGAAGGTGCCAGGTGCATGGGGGCTGGTGGAGCCCAGCAACAGCTGCAGCTCTTTGGCAGCTCAACCGCTCATTGGCCGGAAGCGATAGGCAGAGACGTCCAATAAGCTGTAATTGGTCCCTGCAGTGCACTCAAACACCTCAGGGCCCAGCAGCCAGGCCATTCTGTCCTGCAGCAGGAGCCTTGCCGTCCCTCCATCCTCCTACAACCCAGGAAGGTCGTGAATCCACCGTCACAGTCCGCTGGGCATACAGTAAGCTGCACTTGGCCTGCCCTACCTGCAGCACATTTGTGCACTTGGGGTCTGTAGCTAGGCAACTTCTATCATGCCACCTGTCTTGCGTAGCCCCACGGTGGCACCAACAACAATCTCGTCACCTCTCCTCTCTCCTCCAGCCTGGGAAGGCCACAAGCCCGGAGTAAGCTGCCATCGAAGCCCACTGGGCATACGGTAAGCTACACTTGGCCTGCCCCACCTGCAGCATATTTGCACACCTGGGGCCTGCAGCCAGGCCACCCCTGTCATGCCACCTGCCTCACATCGCCCTGTATTGGCACCAGCAACAATATCATCACCCCTCTACTCTCCCCTCAGCCCGTGAAGGCCACAAGCCTGGAAGAAGCTGCTGTTGCAGCCCACCTGGCATCTGGTAAGTTGGGCTCAGCTCACTGCACCTTAAGTGCATTTGCATATCTGGGGCCTGCAGCCAGGCCACCCATGCCATACTACCTGTCTCTTGTTGCCTTGAGGTGCCCCACGGCATCAACAGCAGCAGCTTCGAGGAGGTAAGCGCAGCCAGGTGAAGCGGAGCCAGGCTGGGCTGGGCTGCAGGATGTCTGTCCCACAAGGTCGAGGCTGGGCTGGGCGCTTGCCCTCTGCTACCCAGGGCTACAGGCAGCCTGTACTGTCATCTGGGGGTGCTTCACATGGCCTGAGAGGGACAGCGAGGCCACTCTGTTGGTTGAGGTTTTGGCACTCACCGCAGGGCAAGGGAAAAAGTCTCAGGTGCTCCCTGCTCTGGAGGCAGTGAGCCTCACCAAATGGTCAGTCTGGCACCACCCAGCAGCTGGCAACATCGGCCTACTGATCCCTTAACCCTTTGCATGCTGCCAGCTAGGAAGGGAGGGGAGGACATACAGGCAGGAGAGTCTGAGGGGCTCCTGTTCCTTCAGGTGCTCCAAGGCCATCTCATCCTTGGGAAGCATCCCCACAAATTGAAGATCCAGCAACATATAATAGTTGAGTCCTGTCTCTCTCAATCTTTGTAACCTTAAGACGGCTGGACTTTAACTCCCAGAATTCCCCACTCGCAAAGATCTGGACTGAAAGTACAAAGGGGTTCAGGGTTCAGCGAGGGTGGCACAGGAGACATTGCCCAGAGGCCCAAAACCCTTCATTGGCACACCACACACATTAAACCACTGGCACCCAACACCTGATGGGCATCCTCCCCCATGAGCTTCATCCCCTTGTCCCCTGGGTCCCCAAACCACATCAAGCTCTGAGGCTTTGTAGAAAATATCTGGAACTAGCATCGCCTGCGAAAGCTAAATTTTGGGTGGATATTTCAGGGATTTAGAGCTCTATTTCTGGGCTTCTTGGACATAGGAGAGGTTGGGAAAAGATGAAGACCATGGCTCCTTGTTTCCTGTTTGGGAAGCCTGGATGTGTCTTGATTCCGCCCCCCCCCCAAAAAAAAACCCAATCAGAGAC